CCCGACGTTCCAGGCCCTGTGCCTGGGCAGCAAGGTCACTCTCCCGATATTCCAGGCCCTGTGGCAGCAGCAGCGAGGTCATTCTCCCGACGTTTCAGGCCCTGTGCCTGGGCAGCGAGGTCACTCTCCTGACATTCCAGGCCCTGTGCCTGGGCAGCGAGGTCACTCTCCTGACGTCCCAGGCCCTGTGCCTGGGCAGCGAGGTCGCTCTCCCGATGTTCGGGGCCAGAGGCAGGAAAGCCCCTCCAGTGATCGGGGGGCGGGCGGATGGCAGCGCCCACAGCAATGGACTCTTCAAGATGGCAGCGCTGGCGAAGCAGCATCTGCGTCTGAAATGGGACCCATGGCCCCGGTGGCCTGGCCTGGCGGCAGAGCCAGGGATTCCTGGGTGTGGGGCGAGTGCGGACTCAGCGGTGACAGTGAACTGGGCCCAGGGGCAAAGAGATAGTGCCTAAAGTGGGGCAAATCCTACGTTGGTGGGTCCGGTGCAGGAGGCAGTGAGGCGGTGGGGGTCTCCCTTGAAGCTAGGAGCTGGCATGGACTGGGTCAGAAAGACTGATATTCTCAACTTTTTACTTCTTCACTTTTCTAATTTATTCCTATGACCACTAATGCTGGACTATTTATTTCTTTACTTTTCTAATTTTTTTTTGTTTCCTAAGAATTTGATCTTACGTATCTGTACCGAGGTACCTTTGTGGTGTTGTAATGCAATCACTGTGAACGTTTCACTGTATTCATTTGAGTACATGGGACAATAAAGCTAATTCAATTCAACATCCTTCCTCTCGTGTGGAGACCAGAACTGCATACAGTACTCTAACTGTGACCTAACCCATATCCTGTCTATGTCCTCCAACATAACCTCCCTGCTCTTATAATCTACACCATGGCTACACCATAAGCATTCCATTTGCCTTCTGAACTACCTTATTAACCCACTTTGCCACCTTCAGACCTCTGTGGGAAAATACACCCAGATTCCTCTGTTCCTCTCAGCTTCTTAGTCAATAAGTGAGTACTCCCTTGTCTTGTTACTTCTTCCAAAGTGCATCATCTCATACTTATCAGGGTTAAATTCCATTTGCTACTGATCAGCCCCTCTACATCCTCCTGTAATGTAATACCATCTTCCTCACTGCCACACCTTTTCAAAGTCCTAACTGTTTCACCTGCATCCTTTGCCTCCTGTTCTTAGCCCACACGTGACTCCAGTCTCACACCAGTTTGATTGACACTTGAGCTGCCTCCTAGCCAATATCAAACTGTGACAAAGAATAACATCAGATAGAGCAATAGGATGGACTACCATGGGTCAAGGAGACAGTGTCAAGTCAGCTAGAACTAGTGGGCGATGAAGTGTCCAACACACACAACCTGAGAATTAATTTCAGTAAAAAAACTTCTTTAGAATCAGTTTCAGACTCTCAATTCTTTCCTATTGGACATTTGGAAGAAGGAGCAGTGACCAATTATCACAGACTATTATAACTTCCTTCACTGAGAAGTTTTTTAATTCATTCACAGGATGAGGGCGTTGCTGACTAGGCCAGCCATTTATAGCCCATCCCTAAACACCCAGAGGGCAGTTAAAAGCCAATCACATTGTTGTAGGGCAGGAGTCACATGTTGGTCAGACTCATAAGGACAGCAGATTTCCCTCCCTAAAGGGCATTGGTGAAGCAGATGAGTTTTTCCAACAATTGACAATGGATTCATGGTCATCATTAAACTCTTAATTCCGAATGACTTTATTGAATTCAAATTCCACCATGGTGGGATTTGAACCACGGTCCCCAGAATATTACCTGGGTTTCTAAAATCAATAATCCAGTGACAATACCACTAGGCCATCACCTCCACAAGTTGAAAATGGCATCAAATTGACAGAAAAAACATCAGTGTTGTGAAGAATACTGGTAGGCCAGAAGATTGGGATTACTTCAGAAACCAGCAACGGATAACTAAAAATAAAGAGGGGACATTAGATTATGAGAGTAAATTAGCAAGAAATAAAGAAACAGACAATAAGAACTTCTACTGTATATAAGAAAGAGACCATCCAAAGTAAGTGTTAGGCACTAAGGATGAAAGGAATCAATATTGGGAAGCACAAAAATGACACAGACTGTGAACAAGACACTAAATATATTCCATCAGCAGCAGAAAGTTAGGGGGACGAAGAGCAAAAAACCTGAAATAACCATTATCACCAGCAAAATAGTATCAGGATCTTCATAGGACTGAAAGTTGACAGGTTCCCTCAATAAGATGATGTGCATCCTAGGTTCTTAAACAAAGTAATTACATAGATTGTGAATTCATTGGTTATAATCTTCCAAGGGTCTCTAGATTCTGAAAAGGACCCAGTGGATTGGAAAACTGTAAATATAACAACTCTTTTCAATAAAGGGTGGAGACAAACAGCAGAGAACTATAGACCAGTTTGCCTAACATCTGCCATTGAGTGAATGCTTGACTCCATTATTAAGGAAACAGGACATTTTGAAAATGGTAATATAATTAGGCAGAGTCAACGTGCTTTCATGAAAGGGAAATCCATGGCTCTGTGGTTAGCACTGCTACCTCACAGTGCCAGGGACCCAGGTTCAATCCCACCCTCGGGCAACTGTCTGTGTAGAGTTTGCACATTCTCCCCGTGTTTGTGTGGGTTTGTTCCAGGTGCTCCAGTTTCCTCCCACAGTCCAAAGATGTGCAGGTTAGGGTGGATTGGCTGTGGGAAATTGCCCATAGTGTCCAGGGATATGTAGATTGGGTGTGCCATGGGGGGGATGGGTCTGGGCGGGATGCTCTGAGGGTCAGTGTGGACTACTTGGGCCGAAGGGCCTGTTTCCACACTGTAGGGATTCTATGAAGGAGACTCTATGAAATTTGTTGGAGTTTTTTGATGACGTAGCAAGCACTGTGGTTAACGGAGAAATGGAGGAGTAATTAAAGCAAATGGATGCATTTAAGGGGAAGCTGGACAAGCTGAGATGATGGATTTTAGATGAGGAACAATGAGAGGGTGCTCAAGCAGAGTTAAACATTGGCAAGGACTGGTTGGGCTAAATACCTGTTTCTGTTCCCACATATCCAGAATAACCCACCTGCTTCTATTTCTTTTGTTCTTCTGATTTAAAATGGAGGCATTACTGGGCTGGAGCTAATGTAGGTTAGTGAGCATAGAGGGAGCAAATGGGTCGAGGTGTCAGTTAGGATTGATCAACATTGCTTGTTAGTGAAATCTCACCACAGCATTCAGGCAGTTCTGGGTCAGCTCTGGGAGAGAGTACATCATCTACCTTCAGTATCCAATGCAATCAACATTAGTTAAAACAGCTTCAAGTGTCAAAAAAAAAAGTTCTTTAGTGAATGAAAATGTTTTGAAATAAATACGAATAATAATGATAAACACCTGATTTCATAATACTGATAAAACAAATGCCAGTAAACTCTTCTTAATCACAGCCAAACAAAGATCCTCACAACTGCTCTGTTTTTTGTGTTAAAAAAATAAATTGTTTGAACTTTCCTCAATGATAAAGAAGACTCGCCATGAAATTCCTCCATTTTCTTTTTTTAAAAAAATGTTGATTCACTGTGAATCCACGCAGTGTGAAAAGTTTCAGTTGGACTTGGCACAGAATTCTGTTTTTGTAAATGGAGGCTGGGTCATCGCCGAGCCCCTTCCTGGCAAGCCAGCGATGACTGGCTTCGGCACAGTCATTGCTGCCTCATGAAGTTGGCGCTGTTGAAGTTGGCGATGTGCGTTAATCCAATCCCAGCCGGGTTAACATCACAAAACTAATAACCAGCGTCATGCTCCAGCTCAACACGATCCCAGCCTTGGACATGCAGGAGCAATTCCTTTTCTCGTCTCCTGACCTGCCATCACCATGATGACCGCGCCCCATTCGGGCTCTGGAACGGGCGTGCTCTGAAATCGATGAGTCCGCCTGCATCTCGCTGCACACCAGCCAATCCTTGGCCACGGATTTTGGGTACCCAGGGTCCACTTGCATGTCCCTGCATGTCACTTTCCAGTAATCCTTCCCCTTAAAGAAATAGGCAGCACCTACACGGGGGCACAAATATTCGATTTGACTTCATTTGATTTCACTGTTGTCTCACACTTACTCAGATACAGGGCAAGTATTGTTTTGCAAGCTATACAGCCCGATCATACCTCACGTATGTACTTGGGTCAGTGATGAGGGAGTGCCGCACTGTCGGAGGGTCAGGGCTGAGGGAGTGCCGCACTGTCAGAGGGTCAGTGCTGAGGGAGAGCCGCACTGTCGGAGGGTCAGTGCTGAGGGAGCGCCGCACTGTCGGAGGGTCAGTGCTGAGGGAGCGCCGCACTGTCGGAGGGTCAGTGCTGAGGGAGAGCCGCACTGTCGGAGGGTCAGTGCTGAGGGAGCGCCGCATTGTCGGAGGGTCAATTCTGGGGGAGTGCCACACTGTCAGAGGGTCAGTACTGAGGGAGTGCCGCACTGTCGGAGGCTCAGTGCTGAGGGAGTGCCGCACTGTCGGAGGGTCAGTGCTGAGGGGGTGCTGCACTGTCGGAGGGTCAGTGCTGAGGGAGAGCCGCACTGTCGGAGGGTCAGTGCTGAGGGAGCGCCGCATTGTTGGAGGGTCAAT